TTTTTAGCAAAATACCGTATTTTATTTAAAAAATGTTGCGAAAAAGGCTTTTTGCAAATTAAAATTGCTATTTACGAAAGTTCCGGTATTGGTGCATTTCGACCTTTCGAAGCCGTTATGCGTACGGATTAACGCTTTAACTTTTGCGATAAAAACGGTGCTATTGCAATTGCAAAACGGCCGGTAGCACCCGGTAGCTTACATATCGAAAAAATTGCAACAAAAAAAGTTGCGCTATGCAATTCTTAATTTAAAATTGCTAGCAATTGTAAAAGCTTTCGAAAAATAACGGCATTACTTAACTTACTTACAAAAAATTATTAAAATAATTACTAACCATTTAAACCATACTTATATTTTAACAAAAAAAAAGTAATAAAGCGCCAAATAAAATAATTCGAAAATTTAACAAAGTATAACTTTACAATTAAATAAAAGCCAAAATACCGGAACCCCGCAAATGGTTTATTAAAACGTCCTTAAAATATATTAATGGACGGGAAAGCTAATATAGCAAAAAAAAAATTCCAAAACGATTTGCTAGCTAAATTCCGAAAAGCAATTTACGTAAGGACAATTACCATTAAAAGGAACATTAAAACGATATTAAAGCGTATTTTTAAAGCACAAACAAAAAACGATTTCGTTTAAAGCGGTATTTAAAAAAACAAGCTTAACGTTTAGGAAATTAACAACGGTTTGTTTAAATACAAAAGGAAAATTTAGGTTCCGAATTTAGCATTGTTTAAACGGGCAATGCTTTGGGAATAATACGATAACCCAACGGGGGGTTACAAAAGCATGGCCAAAATTTTAAAAAAGCTTAAACGGTAATTTAAATGGCCGGGTATGGTTAAAAACGTACGCAAATACGTACGAACGTATTAAATATGCTAGTAAATAAAACCGAAAATACAAGCATTTTACGGGCTGCTAGCATTTTTGCCCGTATTAAACCGCCCGAAACAAAAGCTATCGATGGATTTTATTGGAAAATTTTTAACGTTAGTAAATAAAGCCGGCAAAAAGCGCAACGCAATATTGGTAATGGTTAACCGGTTTACCAAATATAGCTTTTTTATTCCAACGTTTACGAAATTAACCAATAAAAAATTAAAAAGCTTTTTATTTACATACGTTTGGGGGTTATTGGAAACGCCCGAAAGGATTGTATTAAACCGAAACAAGCTATTTACAAGCAAGTTTTAAATAACCTTTGCCGAACATTTAAAAGTTGCAAAAAGGCTATCGATAGCATACTACCTTTAAACCAACGGGCAAACGGAACGAACGAATTAAGCAATAAAGCATTACTTCCGGTGCTTTTGCTGCAAAAAGCAAAACGATTGGGCGTTGTTATTGCATTTGGCAACGTAAGTGCACAATATAAACGTGCATTTGGGGTTGCAAAAAAACCCCGGCGTTTTTGCTAATAAGGTTTTACTTACAAAAGCTTTATAACTTTCGGGTAATTAAAAAAAAACCTTTAGCAACGGTTAAAATTAAAGCGGAGGCTTTGGAAACAATTAAAAAGCAAGCCAAAAAATTGCTAAAAAAAGCAAATAATATATACAAAAAGTATTATAACAAAAGCAAAACCCCGGTGCTTTTTGGGGTAAACAATTGGGTATTGCTAAATACGGTAAATATTAAAATAAAAAGGCCGTTAAAAAAGCTATTGGATAAATGGTTGGAACCTTTTTAAATCCTAAAAATGGTTGGGTTAGCCGGTTTGGCGTTTCGGTTAAAGCTTCCGGTAAATTACCGGATATATAACGTATTTCCAGCAAATTTATTGCGGGCGTTTAAAAAAAAGCCCGGCGAAAAACCAAAAAAA